TCATGCTCATCTGCGGTCTCATGCTCATCTGCGGTCTCATGCTCATCTGTGCTCTCATGCTCATCTGCGGTCTCATGCTCATCTGCGGTCTCATGCTCATCTGTGCTCTCATGCTCATCTGCGGTTGATGTTTGTTCACTCGCAGCCACACAGGTCTGTTCGCTGTGGGAGATGGAGTACTACGCACCAGGCAACACCAGCGATCGATCCTGCCAGAGTATGTGATATATGCATAAGTATATACATTATGTACTATGTACACATGTATGTGATATTGTATATACATATGCATTCGTATATTATATATGCATATGCACGTGTATATAATAAATACACATGTATGTGTACAGTTACGTATATACCTTTTTTCATTATACATATGTATGTATATAGTTCTGTATATATGTCTATGTTTTAGGGTTGCGCCGTCCTGTCAGCTGCATCATATGCACATGCTGTGCTGAATGATCTGTAGATTGATTGTGTGCACTGTTGCACCTGGTTTAGTTTAGAGGTTTAACACAGTCCTCCCATAAAAAAAAGGGAATTAGGAGGATACGATTTGAAGATTTTTCTAACATAATATAAATCCTAAAACCTGAAAAGCCCAAACCTCATTTTTACGAGTGTGTGCTCGATGTTGTCTGTGGTTTGCTATGGCGGCATGGCGCCGTAGTGTGTTCGAATGAATGTTATTAGTTCGAACCCTAAACGAATGTGTGATTTTAATTGAACTTCAAGGTGCCCATGAACGTGTATGGTAATCATGTGATTACTTATGTACGTGTATGGTAATCAGGTTTTTAATATATGTACGTGTATGGTAATCAGGTGATTGCTTCATGTACGTGTATGGTAATCATGTGGTTGCTTCATGTACGTGTATGGTAATTAAGTGATTGCTTCATGTACGTGTATGGTAATCAAGTGATTGCTTCATGTACGTGTATGGTAATCAAGTGATTGCTTCATGTTCGTGTATGGTAATCAGGTGATTACTTGTTGGCATCCATTCCTTTATAACGAGCGTATACTTTGCACTAACGTCCCTCTCCTCATATATACAACACACATGTGCATGCACACAATTCCAGCCACACACTTGCTATCCCGTATGTGTAGCCAGATGCTTCAGTTCGTGAGCACATGTATATTGCCCACACGGACACATGCACTTGCCTTGTTAGTTCCTCCTGGATAATTGTCCACATCCACTCACCCTATTAAAGTTTTAGTAAATCTCTCCTAGACAATTGACCAGATTTATTGACCTTTTAGTGTCTCTAATAATTGAACCAAGATATTCTTAAAATTTCATTCAATAAATCTGTCAAATGCTTTGTTATTTTTTTCTGGATGCTTGTTCCTTTTGACATACACCCTTTCACGTGCACTTACCCCCTCATATCGCTCCTGAATAATTGTCCATAGTCGTTTCGCCCGTGTGGATCAAGTTCTCGAAGAGGAATCAGTACAACGAAAGCACATACTGGATGCTAGAGCAGCAGGTGACACAGGTCATTGGCTACTATTTGCAGTCTACGCTGCTGAGCTCATCGCTGGCTTCGGTGTGTGGTACCTTATGGTTGTGTTCTTCTTGTAATGGTGTATGTATGTAGTAGGCAATGGTGTATGTATGTAATATGCAATGGCGTATGTATGTAATAGGCATTGTTTACATCACTTGGAATACAGATGTAGTAAACCCTCGCGTTTGTTTCGACCACTGCGTAGCTGACATAGAGTTGCCATGACAACCACACTATACCAATGCGAATTCACTTATACAAGTTACTACACACATTGTCACTCATAAGCACATGCCAAGAGCCTAGGACGACTCAACTAACCTGACCTATTGTTATGCATGCAGGTGCTCAACCAATCAGATGCCTTCACGTACACCATGTCAATGCCATTTGAAGCAGCCGACAATCTGGTGCAGATGGTCGCAGAGGGCTACCAGCGCATGGCCACCATGAACGTTTCTGCGGTACGCAGCCAACACACACACACCCGCGCATACACACACACACACACACACACACACACACACACAC